AAAAAAACTAGTTGTAAAAGTATTTCTTAAGGGGATTAATAATGTTGACCCTAAAAAGTGAGAAAAAAACAATAAAAAAAGTTTTATTCTAGCCAAAAAAAATACAAAAATAAAAAAATAATAATAAAAAAATATATATATATAAAAAAAAATATATATATATATTTTTTTTTTATTTATATTTATTTATTTTTTTTTTTTTTCTGAAGAAGAAGAAGAAAACACTTATTTTTTTTATTTTGGCTAGAATAAAACATTTTTTTATTGTTTTTTTTTAGGGTCAACATTATTAATCCTTTTAAGAAATAATTTTACAACTAGTTTTTTTGTGTAGTTTTTGCTTGTTTTAAAATTTGTTTTAAATATTTGGATTAAAAAACAAGACAAAAACTCTATTTGTAGCGTAGTATCTTGATGAAACAAAATTTATGGGCCCTATCATACACCCGGCGCAATAAGGTACAAGATGTGTTTTCTGTGATCTGTTGCTATTTTCAGATCAGCACAGCACACTTTTTCCTGTTTTGCACCGCATTGTTTTAACGGCAAATCCATTTGTGCCACTTTGTGGACTCAAGGGTGTTCCGGTCTATAATGGAGGTGTGTTAAGGCGCATTGTTGAAGCGTTGTTATTTTGAAGAACTGAAATAGACAGCGCCACTTACCAACTAAAAGCTACTCTAAAGTCCAGCAGAGCGTGTTAGTTATGCACCTATGCAGGTCCAAACCCTTACACATTGCTTATACCAACTCAATGTCACGACAATTTGTAACTTTTTGATTTATTGGCTAATTCGTATGAATTTGTATGATCTAATTCGTACATTTTAGTACGATTTGCTCATCAGCCAATGACAGATGAGTTTAGGGGTGGGGTTTGGTGCCACATCTCCTTTTTAAAATCGTACATTTTCAAATGACTCAACTCATACGAATTCGTACAAAATAGCCACTAAACTGAAAAAACGTAAAACACTTACGTTTCCTCGTGAGATCAGGCTGTTAGTACACACTGGTCCCTGCGGGCACAAGACGTCAATTTGACTTCATATTGTTGTTATACCCCAACGTATCCCAACGTCGTGGGGATGTTGTATTTTGTTCGGAAATGAAAATCATGTTGATGTCAGAACTCAACGACGTCAATGTCCAACATCCAACCTAAGATAAACTAAATATAAATGTCTATGTTACACAGTGACATTGTGTGGACGTTATCACTATGACGTCTATCAGACGTTGGATTTTGGTCACTTTCCAACACAACCTAAAATCCAAATGTTTACATCATGTGATGTCATTATTGGACGTCAAAATAACGTTGTCCTTAGACGCAATTTCGGTCTCCTGATGTCATGACCTAAATCTAACCTAATATCAACATCCTATGATGTAGTGTGCCAGCTGGGGTTATATAACACTACACAAATATATTTACATATGAAAACAATGAAGGGATTAAACGATTATTATCTACATCAATATAAACAGCACTGCCTCCATGCCTGATCTCAGGGGGCTTTTTCAGTTCATTCATGACAATCTGCATCTGTGTAATGTTCTTATTATGATCAGTATTATTGATTATCTGCAGATTTATATCTGCTTTAATAAATACAAGTGTATATGTGTCCAGCTGTGGGGTTTTGCAGACGTCTGCATCAGCATATGGGGCATAAGAACAGGACGTGTGTTTGGATATCACTCCGTTTTCTGTCCACACTTCATTATTATTGTTCATTTAATCCTTTGCTGGAGATTAGAACTGAATTTAGAAATAGTTTAGACACAAATCTTTGTGCTTAACAAAGGAAATTAAATATGTGGGCTAATGGATGTGTTCAGTGAAGTAAGTTCCACCGTTTCCTCCCTCCACCAAAGTAAAGGAGTAAAGAGTAAGAGTAAAGTAAAGAGGCTGAGTGGAGGAGGCTCGTTCTTTATCCTCGTGCTGCAGATGCTCTGTTTAACTGTTTACTCGCTAGTGAAGCGTTCAGTTTTTACTCATACAAAGTCTACCATGTAAATAATGTGCCATGTAGCAACGCAACTGACTCTTAAAGGGAATGAAAGACGAGACTCCGATTGGTTTAATGCAGGTTATGCTCAAAACACACCCGGAACTCATTAAGAGAATCAGCACAGCCCTGTTAGACCGTATGTGTTAGGGCACAGAGTGTATATTTCCATCATTAAAATAGCAAAAGTGTATTCAGACACGACACTAATGCTTTTGTACCATGAGCTTTAGACTTTACACTTAGGTCGTTAAAATAGAGACTAATATGTTCTGTCATCAAGGCAAAGAAGAAAAAGAAAGTAGTTAAGATGCGAAAATCTCCAAGTCCATCTGAATTATTTATTTATTTATTTTTGGTCTAAAAATGTTTAGATTCATTAATTTTACTTAATATGGAATGGAAAGGTTTTAACTAAAAGACGAGGATTCCAGCACTATTCCTGTGCATTTCCAGTTTACTTTAAATGTATTTATTTCTATCATATTTTATGGAATTTGATGTATTTAGACCCAAAAGCTTTCCTCTAATATCTAATAATATTAGTCTCTATTATTTACACACACGCACAGGCAGTGCAGATGAGAATATCTTGTTAGAAACATTATAAATGATTTCATTTGTCTATTATTTTCCACACATTACAGTCACATGGTGTGTGGGTGGTGCAAAAATAACTTCAAGAACTTTATGGATAATGACAACTTTAAAGAAGTACATTAAGGAAAAGAGATGTGTAGGTTGTTTCTTTAATCAATTCTGACATTAAACATGTTTTTCCACTTAAGTTTGTGTACAGTAGGTCTGTATATGTCAGACTGCAGAACAGTTCGTAATCAAACTAAAGATGCATCATTTATTAGAAGTGTTGTTTGTCATTATATTGCAGTTCACTAAGAAGAGTTTGTCAATTTCTCTTCTCTTCAAGGAGTCACTAACTCTTTGAGCACAATATAATAAGATTAAAACTAATAGTACAACTGCAAAAAATACTTTTCTCACTTAGTTTCTGTGTTTGTTTTCTAGTGTACACAAACTTATATAAATATATGCATATAATCGAGAAGCATTTTCTAGAAAATATTTTTTTTCTCAATAAAAAGGAAATATTAAACCCAGCTTAACATCTTCTGATGGGGGAAAGTACAATTATTATTATTATTATTATTATTATTATTATTATTATTATTATTAGTTTGATTTTATAAAAAGCTTGTATATAATAATAATAATAATAATAATAATAATAATAACAACAATAATAATAATATTAATAATAATAATAATAATAATAATAATAACAATAATAACAATAATAACAATAATTATAATAATAACAGCAATAATAATAATAATAATATTAATATTATTAATAATAATAACAATAATAATAATAATAATAATAATAATAATAACAATAATTATAATAAAAACAGCAATAATAATAATATTATTAATATTAATAATAATAACAATAATAATAATACTACTACTACTAATAATAATAGTAATAACAATTATAATAATAACATCAATAATAATAATAATAATAATAATAATATAAAAATATTAATAATAAAATATTAATAACAACAACAACAACAACAATAATAATAATAATAATAATAATAAACAAAAACAAATATGCAGTTGTATAGGGAAACATTAAAAAAAATAAAAGTCATATAAAGAATATAAAAGAACAATATGAGTAAACGTTTAAATAGATAAATATAAGTGTATATCAAGTCAAATAAAAGAATATAAAAAGAATAATAAAGGTTTCAATAAAGAAAGTTAAAATGAATTAATATATCATGTAAAGTCACCACTTTATAAGGTACATCCTTCTAGTAGCGGGTTGGACCCCCTTTTGCCTTAAATTCCATTAAAATAACTTAAATCATCAGTGAGTCGTTTACATGGACACCAATATTTCGATTTTAATTTGATTGAAACAATACTCTGATTAAGAGTTGACCATGCTAACAGCAATTTTAAAATCACCTAAATCCGACTAAAGTCATAATCAAATTAAACAAAAATCCAAATAAGAAGTGCAGTATATCTATTTTAGTCTTATCATTAAACGTCCATCCGCCCATTTATTGGGCACCTTACTAGTACCAGGTTGGACTACTTTTGCCTTCAGAACTGCCTTAATCATTCATGGCATAGATTCAACAAGCTACTGGAGATATTCCTCAGAGATTTTGCTCCATATTGACATGATAGCGTCACACAGTTGCTGCAGATTTGTCAACTGCACTTCCATGATGTCAATCTCCCGTTCCACCACATCCCAGAGGTTGCTGTATTATTTTTTAATAGAAAATTCTAGGTCGTTTTCAATTTAACTCCAGAATTAAAAGAAAGGTTGTTGTAAAATGGTATCAACAGTGTGTATGCATCTGCTGTAAATGTAATATTAGTACAGATTTGTACAGTTCTAAACCCTCATTTTCTCTACACAGGTCATAAATCCCAAGAAAAAAGGAAAGAAGAAAAAATATCTCAACTCTGGAACTGTAAGCATTTGCCTTTTTTTGTGGGGGATTTTAGTTTGCTGTAGTGCTGCAATTTGAAATATGTCTTGCATAAATATAGCAATATCACTCAAACCACTAAAGCTTACCCATAAAAAAATATATTTAATCATAATTGTTATTTTGTATTGCTGTTTAAGTGACATTTTATACAGTACAGTCCAATGTGGACATCAAAAAAAAAAAAAACACAAGAGCTTTACTTGTGTAATCTTATGTTAAAATCATAAGTGAATTCCGTGAAATAGACATCAAATGTGGTTTTGGAGCATTTTGTGAATTTGAAAGCTATTTGAAATTAATGTAAAACCAGTGTGAAACCAACTTGAAACCAATGTGAAACCATTGTGAAACCAAATTTAAGCCAATGTGAAACCAGTGTAAAACCAATTTGAAACCATTGTGAAACCAATTTGAAACCAATGTAAAGCAAACATGGAACCAATTTGAAATCGATGTGAAATCAACGTTGAACCAATTTAAAACCAATTTGAGACCAGTGTAAAACCAAATTGAAGCCAATGTGAAACCAGTGTAAAACCAATTTGAAGCCATTGTGAAACCAGTGTGAAACCAATTTGAAACCAATGTAAAACAAATATGGAACCAATTTGAAACCGATGTGAAATCAATGTGGAACCAATTTAAAACCAATTTGAAACCAGTGTGAAACCAATTTGAAACCAGCATGAAACCAATTTGAAACCATTCTAAAACCCATTTGAAACCAATGTAAAACAAACATGGAACCAATTTGAAACCGATGTGAAATCAATGTGGAACTAATTTAAAACCAATTTGAGACCAGTGTAAAACCAAATTGAAGCCAATGTGAAACCAGTGTAAAACCAATTTGAAGCCATTGTAAAACCAGTGTGAAACCAATTTGAAACCTGTATGAAACCAATTTGAAACCATTGTAAAACCCATTTGAAACCAATGTAAAACAAATATGGAACCAATTTGAAACCGATGTGAAATCAATGTGGAACCAATTTAAAACCAATTTGAAACCAGTGTAAAACCAATTTGAAACCAGTATGAAACCAATTTGAAACCATTGTAAAACCCATTTGAAACCAATGTAAAACAAATTTGGAATCAATTTGAAACTGATGTGAAATCGATATGGAACCAATTTGAAACCAATGTGAAACCAGTGTAAAACCAATTTGAAGCCATTGTGAAACCAGTGTGAAACCAATTTGAAACCAATGTAAAACAAATATGGAACCAATTTGAAACCGATGTGAAATCAATGTGGAACCAATTTAAAACCAATTTGAAACCAGTGTGAAACCAATTTGAAACCAGCATGAAACCAATTTGAAACCATTCTAAAACCCATTTGAAACCAATGTAAAACAAACATGGAACCAATTTGAAACCGATGTGAAATCAATGTGGAACCAATTTAAAACCAATTTGAGACCAGTGTAAAACCAAATTGAAGCCAATGTGAAACCAGTGTAAAACCAATTTGAAGCCATTGTAAAACCAGTGTAAAACCAATTTGAAACCAGTATGAAACCAATTTGAAACCATTGTAAAACCCATTTGAAACCAATGTAAAACAAATTTGGAATCAATTTGAAACTGATGTGAAATCGATATGGAACCAATTTGAAACCAATGTGAAACCAGTGTAAAACCGATTTGAAACCATTGTAAAACCCACTTGAAACCAATGTAAAACAAATATGGAACCTATTTGAAACCAATTTGAAACCAGTGTAAAACCAATTTAAAACCAACACGTAACCAATTTAAAACTAACGTGAAACCAATTTGAAACCAATGTGAAACCATATGCAACAAATTTAAAACCACTGTGAAACCAATATGGAACCATTTTAAAATCAATTTAAAACCAATGTGAAACCAAATTGAAAACAACATGAAACCAATGTGAAACCAATTTGCAATCAGTGTGAAACTAATTTAAAACCAATTTGAAACCAACATGGAACCAATTTTTAAACCAATGTGAAAGCAATATGAAACCAATTTGAAACCAGTGTGAAACCAATTTGCAATCAATTTGAAACTACTGTGAAACCAATATGGAACCATTTTAAAATCTAATCGAAACCAATGTGAAACCAATATGAAACCATTTTAAATCCAATGTGCAACCAATATGGAACCACTTTGAAACCAATATTGAACCAATTTAAAACCAAAGTGAAACCAATACAAAATCAATGTGAAACCAGTTTGAAACCAATGTGAAACCCATGTGACTCCATGTTTTCCACACATGACCAGTTTTCTTCATGTTCTCATTGTGATCACAGTTAATATAAAAATGTTCCAAAACCACACGTTTCACAATTGTTGACATTTCTTACGCGACTGCACGAGATATACAACTTGTCTTTGACCCAAATATAACAATGTACTTTGAATTTCGTCTAGCTTGTGCTTTCAAACACGTTCAAAAGAAGCCTCTCTGACACTGCTGTGTTTGATTGTGTGCAGTGTTTTAATCCTTAAATCCAAACCAGTTTCCCTCAGAAGAATCAATGAATCATTGACACACTGTGATGATGAGATTTTCTATCTTCGTCTTTCCAGGTGACGCTGCTATCATTTCTCGTTGATACCGAAGTCACGTTCCTGGATTACATCAAAGGCGGGTGAGTGACATTTTTTTATACGCATACTCTCTTTTCTTAGGTTTAAAGTGCTGATAGGAGAAACGAAGCTTTTTAAAGATCTGAATCATCTGAAAATGATTCAAGTGAAAAGGAAGCATTCAAAACACAACATATTAGGGACAACCTCTGGTCAAACTGCTGGTTAATACAACACATGTCTGGTTGAGAATTCAATCTACCAATGGAATCTGCAATTCATCTAATAACATTAAATATTCTATGTTTGCAATAATATGTGCTTTTTTAGCTCAGTGGAGTCCCCGCTTTGTCAGTTGGCATTTTTTGTGTGTAGTTTGCTTGTTGTGTGTTAGCGTGGGTTTCCTCCGGGTGCTTTGGATTCCCCTACAGTCCAAACACATGCGCTATAGGGGAATTGATGAACTAAATTGTCCGTAGTGAATATGTGTGTTTGTGTGAATGCAAAAGTGTATGGGTGGTTCCCAATACTGCGTTGCAGCTGGAAGGGTATCAGCTGTGTAAAACAAATGCTGGATTAGTTGGTGGTTCATTACCCCTGATAAGGTAAAACTAAGCGGAAGGAAAATGAATGAATGAATTAGTGTTTCATAGTAGACTCCGCTTAACAGGTCAATGAGAGACGTTAACTACTATTATTCAATTTAATTTGACGAATGCCTTATTAAAAACTCGCCAACTTAGAGATCTAAAAAATGTGTTCAGTGATTCCCCACTAGGGGGACATTTGAGTGAACCAGCATGAGTCATGTGGATTTTATATGGTTTTACAGAAACTATTATAACGAAGCCTTGTTTACTGAAACTGAAGATTTGTAAAGCTTTCGAAGCTTCAAGGTTTCAACGTTAAATACACGGTAAACGTTGGTGTATTTGAAAGTCCCGTGCTTTGAAAATGTGCAATTTTTATTTGATGTTTAAAAACTCGGGACATAAACTAGCCCCTCCCCTATTCATAAACAGCCAATAGCCTTCTGTTTATAGCTCAACTTTGCCAGTCAGAGTGTAACGAAGTTGATGACGTCATCTTTTTGAAACATGTCTGTCGTGGTCCATGTTATTTGCATGTGTTGTATGGATTTTGCAGAACTTATTCTTTTGTGAGGATTTGCAGTGTGTGTGTTTCCAACGCAAACTCACGGCAATTCGTAACTTTTAAATTTAGTGGCTAATTCTAAATTCGTACAATTTAGTATGATTTGCTCATCACCCAATGACAGTTGGGGTTAGGGGTGGGGTTAAAATCGTACATTTTAGTACTACTGAACTCGTACGAGTTAGCCACTAAACTGACAAAACGTAAAATACTTAAGTTTCTTCGTAAGATCACGAGGAGGTGCTGCGTGTGTTTTAAAATGATAAGGAAGTCAGATCAACACAGGCCCCTGTTTATTATTTTTGTCAAGAGTTTCAAGAGGTTACACTTAGATATTGCTTGATAATAACAGTAAGTTTGGTATGCTGTCCCCAGAGAAAACCCTGAGCTCAGAGATAAGTGAGCCCAGGGCTCCTGCCTGCTTTATGAGCTTTTGGGGGGGTACAAGATCAGGTAGTTCTCGAGAGCTCCCCCTGGTAAAGGAGGAAAGGTGGAGATGGGGTGGAAGGAGGCATTCTTCCAAAATGAAGATAACGCCCCATTCACACGGGGCTTCAGCGTCAACGCTTGACAGAGGGCGTGTCTGAAGTTACGGCTGACGTGATTGTCATAGCAGCGTTAGCCAATGAAATTAGTCAGCAATAGGTAGACCCACACGGAATCTGCCCGCGCAGAATTCCGCAGATTTTCCACAGATTTTCTGCAGAATTCCGCAGATTTCTGCAGATTTTTAGCCCATCATTAATTCTGTTTATTTACATGAGTAAATGTGTAAATCTAAATTTATTCAGTTTTTATTCAGTAATTTATTACTTTTTATTTCATATATTAAGGTTTTAGTTATGACACTCCGCTGGATACTTCCAAAATAATTATGCAGAAATCCGCAGATTTTTACCAAAATTCTCCGCTGAAATAGCAAAAAACATCCGCAGATTCCGTCTGGCCCTAGCAATTGGCCACAGTCTGAGCTGGTGTATTTGCATGCAGCGATTTGATTGGCTGACGCTTCCGTCGCCGCATGAAAAGTTAAGCAAGACCCAACTTTTGCAGCAAAAAACGTCTCTGAAGCGTCGCATAGTGCAGTTCGGCAACGCCTAACGTCACCCATTCAAAGTGAATGGGAAGCGTTGACGCAGACGCCCCGAGTAAATGGGGCATGATGGAGGAATGCTAGTCAGGCTATTCATAGTGAGTTTAGAATAATCCGATTGGCTTACTAATGATTACAGATGAGAGACTAGCTGCGATCAATTATATCATGTGCTCTTTTCGAAATTAGCTTGTGAAACTTCACTTAATTCAAGTTTTTAGTTGAACTTTCGCTTTGAATGAATTTTGACACGAGTAAATGACAGAATTCAGGATGGGAAAAAGCATCAGGATAGGGGGCAGCATGTATCAAATACTACATTTGACTGGTCAGAATGTTCAATGAGAAACTGAAGTGTAATAATAAACCATTGATTAATTTTGCCGTAAATGATAAACCTTAAGATTTGAATGTTTGTATTTTCTAAATGTCAATTTTGTCAACTGTTATGGAGCACACGATTATAGGTTACCTTAACGTCCGAAGTCAAAATGTACTGATTTGTATTTGTATGTAGTAGGGCTTGTTCCAAACAATGTATCTGCACACTATTCATTTACCCTCAGAACCTTTCATCAAATATCACAACCTTCCCTCCCCTCCGAAATAACTTTTCCTTCACTTCCTGGTCACATGGAATGCCTTTAGGGTGGAGCTATCAGTATTTTAGGGTGGAGCTGTGAGTTCTGCCCTCATTCCATTGGTCAGTTTTCATCATTTTGTTAGAAACACCCATCTTCCAACAATCCAATTTGTTCCCAAAGGACAAAATCATGCACTGCCCAACATTTTATTTCATTTCAGCACTGTATGTACAAAAAAAGTACAATATTAACTTACTTTTCTGCCAACTTTAAGACTAACACATTGATACTGCGACCTCAAAAACCTTTTGATTTAAAAACTCTGACATCAGTGATCCTGAACGCAGAGCTCGCCAGCTTCTAAATGTCAGTTGTATGCACTCCTGGGTAATTCTTCTGAAAATGCAGATGACAGACTTCATGTTAGACACCACAAGTGATCAATCCATTGACGGTAGCTGATGGATGAGGTTGCTAATCTTAGCTCAGGTGTTTGCTGTGTGTTGGCAGGATAAACCATGCGTGTCAGATTGAACCTCCACATTGAGCGCTGCTTTTCATTACCGTGGCAGTATGGAGACTGCGGTCACCTCTGCTCTGACACCACACCACCAGACCTCCGTTTTAATGGATGCTCCTTCCTTTTAGCCGGAGATGTTTAGGTGAAAGGTCAGAGAGGGACTCTCACGTTCCTGCGCATCATTTATTCACTGAGAACAGCCAATTAGAAAGCAGAGATCATAGAATGAACAGATTTACTCCTACAGGGGATGGTAAGGGTTGATGGTCGGTTGGTCCTGCAGGATGGATCCATGCTTTCATGTTACTGAGGCCAAATTGTGAGCTGACCATCTGAATGTGTCAGTAAAAATGGAGACTCATCAGACCAGGCGTTTCTCCAATCTTCTATTGTCCAGTTTTGGTGAGCCTGTATGAATTGTAGCCTCAGTTTCCTGTTCTTATCTGACAGGAGCGGCACCCGGTGTGCTCTTCTGCTGCTGTAGCCCATCCGCCTCAAGGTTGGACGTGTTGTGTGTTCAGAGATGCTATAATTCCATTTGGACTTGCAGGTGCTGATTCTTATTTCAGCCGCATCACATCCGGCAGCAAACCGCCCCAGTGCATGCTGAAGGTCCATGTCCGATGAAGCCAATAAAACAACATGGTCTGCGAATAACAGAGATGAAATCCTGTGGTCCCCGAACCGGACCTCCTTTATCCCAAGGCTGGGCTTTGAAATTCTGTCCATTAAAAATTATGAACAATTAAAATGTAATGTGTAGATTATTGTATATTACATTTTTTTTTTTTACAGCATTTAGAATGAACAAAGTATTCCTAGGCAGCATTGAATGCATAAAATGTATATTTATTCAGTCATTTTCTGCTGCTTTTTCCGGGGGCAGCAGTCTTAGGAGAGAACCCCAGATTTTCCCCTCCCCAGACACTTCCTTCAGCTCCTTTGGGGGATCCCAAGGCATTCCAAGGTCAGCCGAAAGACCATTGTCCATCTATTTATACGGACGGACGGACGGACGGACGGACGGACGGACAGACAGACAGACAGACAGACAGACAGACAGACAGACAGACAGACAGACAGATAGATAGATAGATAGATAGATAGATAGATGGATGGACGGAAGGACGGACAGACAGACAGACAGAGACGGACGGACGGACGGACGGACGGACGGACGGACAGATAGATAGATAGATAGATAGATAGATAGATAGATAGATAGATAGATAGACGGACGGACGGACGGACGGACGGACGGACGGACAGACAGAAAGACAGACAGACAGACAGACAGAGACGGACGGACGGAGGGACGGACGGATGGACAGATGATGGATGGACGGACAGATAGATAGATAGATAGATAGATACAGAGATAGATAGATAGATAGATAGATAGATAGATAGATAGATAGACAGACAGACAGACAGACAGACAGACAGACAGACAGAGACGGACGGACGGACGGATGGACAGATGATGGATGGACGGACGGATAGATAGATAGATAGATAGACAGATAGATAGATAGACAGATAGATAGATAGATAGATAGATAGATAGATAGATAGATAGATAGATAGATAGACGGACGGACGGACGGACGGACGGACGGACGGACGGACGGACGGACAGACAGACAGACAGACAGACAGACAGAGACGGACGGACGACGGATGGACAGATGATGGATGGACGGACGGATA